ATTTTTTATAAATACAAGAAGCCTTTAACATACCGTAACATTCAGCAGTGTAATGGCAGTGGGGAAGAAACTGTTCTGGAATCTGCTGGACCTGCATCGAATGCTGCAAAGCCTCTTCCCAGAGGGCAGCAGGGAGAACAGTCCATGGGGGGGTGTGAGGGGTCATTGATGGTGTTACGGGCTCTGAACCCATAGCGCTGAGATGAAATGTCTTTAATGAAGACATTTCATCCCAGCGCTGCGTATTAGAGGTCATCAGTCCCATAGGACGGCTTCAGTTGTACCACTAGACTCGGTAGGTTGTTATTACTCCTAATAAGTCCTAATCTTAACACTAAAGTAATTAATTTCCCCTGTGGAATTAATCTATGTTTAATCTGAAACTGATTTCATTAATTCTTCATGTACTGTAAAAAGAAATAAATAAAAATGATCCACATGTTGCTCATATTAAAGAAACCAAAGACACAGAAATCGATCCTGTCTCTGAGTTGTAGAATCCTCTCCATATAAATATTTAATTCTGTGTGAAAAAGTGCCAATCATTCTTTACTAAGATCAGACGGATATGCAATGTTTTTTTTTAAAAGCTAATATGTTTTTTTATGCGCAAAATTATGACCAAAATTGGACTAAATCAGAAAATAAAACAGCGTGATTGGCTGTAGGGAGAGCAGAGACAGAGGACCATGCAAGTTTACTGAAGAAAACCTGCTTCCAACCAGGTTAGCTCTGGGGAGAATGTTACTATGGTAACAGAAACAGAGGTTGAATAAATTCTGTTTGTGAAATGGAAAACTCAGAGTTTCCCATATTTCAGGTTTAGAAAACAGTAAACCTGCTTTGTGAAACGGATCCCAGGTGTGCAGTGGGAGAGCAGCCGGTTTGAATGTGTTCACAGTTATGGAGACTGGAACCAGCAAGTTGATTAAAAACACAACCAAGCTGATACATGCAAGGAAACAAGAATTGAAATAATTGTTGAAAGGTAAAATCTTTGCTGAACCACATTCACCTAAAGGACGATAACTGGTTTACAGTCATATTTGTAACTAAACTGGTTTTATTGATACTCTTGGATGCATTTAAAAAATACCAACAGGATGAGGACTGTTATGTACAATAATAAAGGTTGAATATAAAACAAAGCATGTATCTTAAGTCAGCATAAACCCAAAGATTTATTGCAAAACATCAGCATCTCTAATAAATGGCAAATCAATGAATTGTTTGTCAGCAGGATTTTTTTTTTTTTTTTTTTTTTT